GCATTAGTAGCATTTCAATTTTTGAGAATTTATGAAGTACATCTAGTTATGTTGGTTTTTATCCTCTTGATTTAAAGAAATAGACTTCACCATTAGGTTTTCTTGAGTGTATATAAATTTGGTAGACTTTGTTGTCAAACTTTGAATAATTATATGAAGTAGAAGTATTGCTAATACTTAGTTTTCTGGACAGATTCAATAAGTTGCATGATAAAAATGATGTTTGCTGTAAAATGGTTAATAACAAAGTTGTAGATAACTTCATCATATGTCTTGTGTTAAAATTTCAGGACCATAGGTCAAACGGTTTAGGAGTTATAACTGTTTAAAGTTAGCTTTTCCGAATTTGCTTGTTCTCTAGAATTTGCTTATATGATTGTCTGTTTTGGCTAAGATAAGTTGTGATACTTTTGTGAATAAATTTGTTGGTACTTTTATAAAACTTTCTAAACATCACTTGTTTTTAATGCTTCTTTTGGAAATAGTAGATGCTCCTCTGGGTACAAAGCAATGCTTTCTTAAACCACATGCTGTTAAGCTTTGTTAACATATTTGCATTCTCATTTATGCTATTCATGCATTTAGGATCGGAGGAAGAAATAACGTTCTTTGAAATTCGACGAAATAGTACCAGCAGGAGAATCCTCAAGTCGCGCTGCTCTTAAGCGATGTTCAGTTCTCACACTTGAAAGCTTATAAGTCTCCTAATATTTTATAAATGATTACTTAAGTACTTGTCATTGATGCATTAGGTTATAAGAGTTGATTAGAACCTATCGATGATGATGATCATATTATACCTTTAAACTAAACCAGGATATGTATCCTCCATGTGCATCTTTTCACGGTTGATATATTTGCTATCTTGGAAAGGGAGAACCATGGGGTATATTACTCTATATTGGATCAAGTGGAATGCATGCTATCACTAATTGTTCATAACTTGTTTTAAATTCATTTGTGTTATCCATGATATGATGTTCATTCATTTGCTTTCTCTTGCTATCCATATGTATACATATAAACATGATGGTTCGGTGGGAGATTTGGAATGAATAAATATTCAAACCAATGATATCTAGGGGAATGGATGAAATATTTCAATGACATAATGGAATATAGTATGAAATTTTACTGTTACTATAGGGTAAAATCATCATTTTATGGAATCCTATGATAACACTTCATCTCATACATATGTATATACATACATAATCAATGTATCCAAACATGTAGATTGTAATCATCTTTTAAATATTATTACTACGAATTCTATATGGTTCAGGTAACGACGTTGTCTATGTAAATACATATGTGTTATGATTATTATGTTTTCCGTTTACCTTTGCTTGACCATATATGATACTCTTCCCCAACTACGCCTATAATCACGATGGCGCGCGTGCATCCGTGAAGGAATAAATAGCCTTCCCGGCCAGATTGACCATCGATGGCGAAGAAGAGGACTAGATCGAGAGTACCACCTATGCCGCCTGCCGCCCGACGCTTGTGTGTGGTGAAGTGGACTCTAATCCTCTCCTCATGTCCCATCTCATCGAGGCTAAAATAAACTTTTTTAATAATGTTTTGTTGAATTCAACATGTGATTATGGGTTATTGCTCTAATTATTTTATAATTATGGTCTTTCTCATTTTTTCCTAAAAATATTACCATTTTAAAATGTTAATCCAAAATATTATGAAGCATCCAAACATCTTACATATGTTATACAACTGGTTAAATATTATTTTATCATTCTATAATTACATTACATGCGCATTACATATCATATAGATACTATATCAAGTGATTGAAGATGGTGTAATGGTGTTCTCTCTAGAAGATGATGCAATGGGTTTTCTATTTAGATATATTTGCATGCATAACCCTACTTTTTGCATTTTAAATTATATTGTTCTTCTAATGCATATATATATCCCATGAGAAAATACAGATCGAGAATTACCTTAATCCGTTTGGTTGTCGATATCCTTCTCTCCCGACATATCCCATCTACCTATGGTAGGCTTGTTCTAAATCAAAAGCCTAAGTGCTTCTCTTGAATAATATCTTTTATGATTATGTATTTTTTATAGGAAGTCCTCGTGGTTTGGTCTTTTCTCATTTTTCCTAAAATATTACCATTTTTTAAAATGCTTAATCAAAATATTATGAAGCATCACACTCTTTGTTTTCTATAATTATTATCATGGTATATTATATTGCTCTTATTTGTTGTTCTTCTTTATTAAAATGTTTAATTCACATAGTTATACTAATCGATCTCGATAATCCTTCTTCTTCGATGTTGTAAAATATGTGCTTGAACAAAAAGCCTAGAATACCATAAAAGATACGGTACTTGAAAGAAGAAATATCTCAGGCATGATTGGTGTATATGAGAATCAAATACAACTTACCACAATGCGGTGTCGTAAGTCACTTGCTCCTGCTTTTTTTACTTTTATCCTCTTGAAGAAAACATATTCAATTATAATTTTGCAACTAATGTCTCAAAAATTTCAGCGATGCCTTAATATCAAAAGGTAATTGATGCTTATCTTTTCCTATGATTTTTGCTCTTATTTATTGGTACTAGGTATTGGACTTACTGAAACTTAAACATCCCTTGTTTTTGCTTCTTTTGGGAGGCTCCTCTAAGGTTCAAGCTTTCTCCTCGCCTCATGATTGTTCTCATTACTATGTGAGCCTATGGAAAAACTATGATGATACTACACAGGAGCACCTAATGTATGCTAATGAGCATTCGCAAAATATATATCATCCATGTGTATCCAGTGAACAATTAAATGGCTGGCTTGTTGTCTATGTAAATACATATGTGTTATCCATGTATTTTTGTTCATTCTTTTCTTGTCATATATATGTATATACTTTCGGTGGGAGATTTGGAATGAATAAATATTCAAAACAATGATATCTAGGGGAATGGATGAAAATATCGTGCAATGACATAATGGAATATAGTAAAATTTTACATAGGTCATCATTTTTAGGATGGAACATATGAATAACATCAGGATTGTTATCAAATGAATACATATGTTATCGTGATTATTATGTTTTTCCTATGGAAATCGAAGTAGCGAGTACGCACACCGGTGCCATAAGAGCGGATGAGTAGAAGGATACCAGATTTGGTTGTGGTGGAAGTGGACTCTACTCCCATGTCCCATCTCACTGGTAGGCTTTGCTCCAATTCATAAAGTGCTTCTTGAGGATAATGTACGTTGTGATTATGTGGTGGAGATGTAGGTTTGGTTTTTCTTTTTCCTAAAAATATTACCATTTTTTTAAAATGTTAATCCAAAATATTATGAAGCATCACACGGACCTGCGCTTGCTCGGTTAACACATTTCTATAATTATTATCATGGTATATTATATTGCCTTATTTGTTGTTCTTCTAATTATATGACAAGTTAACTAATCCTCGACTCTCGATATCCTTCTCTTCCAGAAAATATGTGCTTGAACAAAAAGCCTAGAATACCATAAAAGATACAGAAAATATTTGGTGTATATAAATAAAATACAACTTATGGGTACTTGCTCCTGCTTTTATTATCTTATTATAATCGCATCATTTTCTTTTGCATGAAAAAATTTCTTTATTCTTCAACACTACTTCAATAAAACATTGTCTTAACACAATCAACATAAGCATTAGCATAAGCCAAATTTCAGCGAAACGAACCGGGCTATTTTCGACCTGTAGAAGAAGACGCTTATCATGATTGACTATAGACCTATGGAAAAGTGGTGTAAAGGCACTTTGATGCATGCAAAAACTCTTGTATTTAACTTGTAAGATATGGTAATTACATAGTCCTAGATGGAACAAGAACTTTGATTTTCCGTGAGATTAAATGGGTAATTATCTTTGTTCTTGATATTTAATTTTGTCTTAGCCGATATCTATTATCTTGCCTAAATCGTCGATCCATTACTATTTTGATTTTTAGATTAAAAAAATTAATTTTACGCATTATCTTATCGTATCCAACACTCAGACAACACACGAACGAACCTAGTAAATTTAAAAGTTAAGAAATGTTAGTAATCGACACCGAGCAGACTATTGTAAAAGTTGAGGGGTAATCAGACTAGAAAAAAATCCACGTTACCTCCCTCAAGTTTTGCAAAAGTCTGCTTTTCCTCACAGAACTCTAAAATCAGGTAAAACACCTCCCTGAACTTTTAGAACCGTTTATTTTACCTACCTGGATATAAATGGTTTTCAAAGGCGGTTTTATCTTTTTCTTTTTTATTTATTTCGGTTGAATCTTTAAAAAAATTATAGTAAATCACAGAAAAATCATAAAATAGAAAATCCAATTTTGTTGGACTCCACGTAAGTAGATCTACACAGTGAACATATAATATGGTGTGCTTTAGTATAAATTTTTTGATGTAGCTTGAGATCTATTTTTTCTATAATTAATTTATAGCTGCAGTTTTATGGGCCAATTGTGTTGAAATTTTTTTATGGTAGGCTAACTATTGTATGCTTGAATTGTAGTAAAAATTCCATACTCATTGGATCGTGTATAATTTAGTTATAGATTTATTTAGGTGTATGCTTGTTAAAAAGTATTTATAAAGATACTATTGGAGTTACTCTTGGAATGCAGGACAAATAAGTTTAAAAGTTAAGGAATGTTACTAATCCAATTACATATAATTTTTTGACTTGAGAATCAGTAATCCAATCCAATTATATAAATGAGCGGGAATCAGACTATTGTAAAAGTTGATGTGGGTTAAAAGCACCAACGGAGGGTCAGTTTATTCCGAGGCCCACCCCACTCTAGAAGTTCTCGATCAGAGCCCATGGCGATCCGGCCCAACGCATAGCCCTCCCGCTCCGGCGCCGCCATCATCCCTTCCTCAACCCACCAACCTCGCAATTCCAAGTTCCAAGTTCCCCCAACCTCGTCGACTCCAGTGAGTGATTTAGCGCCAGGGCGGCGGCAGGATGTCCGGCGAGGAGGAGGAGAACGCTGCGGAGCTCAAGATCGGCGAGGGTCCGCTCTCTTCCACGCCGCCCTCCATCCTCCCCTCTTCCCTCTCAACCACCGTCCAGTCCTTGGGCGGGCGGCTGGGGTTTCGTCCTCTCGAGCTCGACTCACCCGTAAGCCTGTGGCTGCAGAGTTCCTGAAGGCCAAGTGCCTGATGAACTGCGAGGTGGCGATCATCCTGGAGCACAAGTACGAGCAGATCCAGCAGCACTCGTCGGAGTCGGACCCGTCGTCGCAGGTGTCCCAGGTGTTCGAGAAGTCGCTGCAGTACGTGAAGCGCTTCAGCCGCTACAAGAACCCCGACGCCGTGCGCCAGGTCCGCGAGACGCTCAGCCGCTACGGCCTGGCCGAGTTCGAGCTCTGCACGCTCGGCAACCTCTGCCCCGACACCAGTGGCGAGGCCACCGCGCTCGTCCCCTCCCTCAAGTCCGGCGGCAGGTTCGTCGGCGACGCCGGGGACGAGAAGATCGAGAAGATGCTCAACGACCTCTCCCTCATCAAGAAGTTCGAGTAGACTAGCTAGCGCCCAGGGTCCGTCCGTGCCCCCCTCTTCTCTTCGAATATCATCAAGATAGAATTCAGCATCAAGATGTACTACGTACTAATTTTTTTCTTACTACTTGTTCAGGTTCACGTTAACTTGATGTGCTGCTCGATCTCCATCGTGATCTATTGATGCAACCTTGTTGGTCGATAATTCAAGATACTAGTAATACATGTGTGGTTGATTGATGATCTGTCTGAAATTCTACAATCCATGGCCATGCCCTGTTCTCTTCTTCAGTTCCTCCAGTTGTACCAGTAGGGCTCTTGTAATCAAGAGAGAGAGTTCAAAGATCAAACGAAATGTACTGATTCTCTTGCTATTGTTCAGGTTCATATTATCTTCATCTGCTCTCTGTATTCATGTATGAATGGATTAATGCAACCTTGTTGCTTGATAATTCAAGTTACTACTTACTAGCACATGTGTGATTGAGCTATATCTGAAATTGTTTCTATTTTTCTACATGAAACGCCTCCATTATGTGAATCTCTCGAGCCCCAATAAAACACCCCTCTCCCTCGGACTCAATCTGAATAATAGAAGGCCTTTGATGGAAAGCAACCTTTCCTGGTCTTCTGTGTACTAGGTGAGAAGAACGAGACAAGTGCTTGGATTCTGTTCTGTACACTTCACATTCAGTATAACTGCTACCCATGGCAGGTTCTGCTCTTCAGTTCCTCTAGCTGTAGGACTCCTTTAAGAGAGAAATGTACAAAATTTCTTACTAGTACTCAGGTTGACGTTATCTTCATCTGCTCCCAGATCGTGTTGTACGAATTAAATTAATGGACGGAACCTTGTTGGTCCATAACTCAAGTTCATTACCTTCTCAGACATGGTTAAGTTCCATACGTATGGTTGATGTTTAGCAAAGGTTCTTTCCTGAGCTTGCTGTCACCTTATATTAGTGCTCAGGTTAGAGAGGTGCTTGGCTTCCTGTTCTGTAAACTAATATTATATTGTTCATCATCATTGCTACCTCTATTACAGTGCGGATTGTTAGTATGAACATCAAGTATAGATAGAAGAACACAAATCCTATCCAGGCACAGCTAGCATGGAGGACTCTTGATGTAAAGTTTATCACATATATGCACTAGGAATCCAAGCTGAGCCTAGCTCTGAACCACACTTGACCTTGAATTTGGTACATCTGTGACACTTACAGTAACTAAACAGCTCAGGACACATGGAGCTCACATCTTACATATGTATGTATATAGTTACAAGTGACTCATTCTTGTGCCACATATCTACTCAACCAATCCATAAGGAAGATTGTGCAGAGGCCATGATTCATTCATATCATTAGCTAGTACTCGAAGACAGTAACAAGTGAGGATGCTTCCTCTTTCATGGGCGGGAGGCGCTTCATGGCAGGAAAGAGAGGTCACTTGCCATGCTCTTTTTTTTTCTCTCCCTACGAGCACCAGTTCCAGCAGCCAAACGAAGGCGGCACCCGGCCGGTTCTCCTGATGTGCTCTGCCTGTTCAGCCGTCCTTGCGGCTGCACGGTTCCTTTTCAGCTCTGCAGCGGCACGCTTCTCGTCTGCGTTGTGCCTCGCCGATGCGAGCTGGGTCATCAGCTTGTCTTGTGCACGGGCACGCATCCGCTCCACTTCAACCTTCAGGAAGACACAAATCACAATGCCATGATTAAAATTATGGATACGATTATACAAACAATGCAGTATTCACAAAAATGGTGACAAAAATATCTGAACTTTTACTCCTTGGTTTTACATGTTCTGAACCTGAACATATATTACAAACTGAACAAAAGAACTGAATAAGAGTAGCAGCACAACAACGTTGACTCGTTCAGTAACCAGTATACTTACCATCCTATATCAGAATAAACAATACTTTAACTTGCTATGTCATATCCAAATGGATACTAATACCACAACTGCTATGCTGATTCAATAGAAAATTGCTGTCCTGGCTGTAAGTACTATCTCGTGCTAAATTTCAAAACAAAGATTAGAGAAAGCATCACATCTTCACGGGGAGTGACCAAATAACTGCAGCCTAAAGGGCAATGACATTGAATTCAGATAAATAGGAGCTGCAGGAGGTGTGAGAGGCTGCAAATATTTTGCCTCTGTGTTTAAGCTTTTACAAGTTGCACCAAGGCACTTACTATTAACAGAGCTAGGATAACTACTTTGAACAAGCTTCCCATGAAGGGATTGTTGTATCCATATGCATTTTGCAAATGTTGTGGCAAAAAGAATAAAACAAGGTTGCTAAAAAACTCAAGAGGTAGAAAATGCATCTTAGTAACTTGCAGAATTTGTAAGGGATCTATTGTCATTGTTATGTTTGTGTTGACGTGCAAAATTGACAGGAAATAATCTGCTAACCTCAATTTTTCTCATTTCAGCTTCTATTTGGGCTTTCTGATGATCCTCCCAAGCCTGGATCTTGATCTCTTCTCGTTTGAATCTGGAGAGTAAAAAGCAAAACATATTAAGTCACCGAGGACCAGAGAATTCAAACATAGATAATAAAGACAATGAGATATAAGCACCTTGCTAAATATTTGGCCTTCTCTGCCTCTTCCCATGCAGCTGCACGGATTGCAGTTATGTTCTGTGTTGATTGGTCCACGAGCACTGTTTTCAGTGAAAGTGATGCATCTTTTTCCTCTTCCTTCTTGCTTGCCCATGCTGCAATATTGGTCTTACCTAGCTGTGTGCCAAGAAGCATTATCTCCCTCCTAGTTTTTGTTTGCAGTTCCTGTTCACTTAATTCCGAATTGCTATATTCTCCGTGGCTGATAACAGCACTAATTGCATTGGGGCCTAACGTCCTTCGTGGAGTTGTTGGCGAGAACAATTTGGACTCGTTGCTCTCACCGTGTTCCTGTCCGAGATGGTTCTTGGCTTGCAATAGGAGTCATTTCTGTGCCCATATCCCTCATTGACACTGACCGAACTGTCGATGGAGGAGGTATGCATGTTGTTGCACTTTGAAGCGTGGTGGATGCATCATGACGGTTAAAAGTAACTGCATTCATTAAAAAAGTTTGCATCTATGAGTGCTACTTTTCCAGTTAGAAGAGACCGTGGGGAACAAAATCATATTATGAGGGGAGGGCTAAGTGAGCAATACAACGCTTACCAGCTGAAGCAGCCATTGTACTTTCTGCAGCAAGTGTAGTCTTTGGACAAGGCTCCACTTCCGGACAGGGGTCGGGCGGCGCCCAACTCACCGCTTTCTGCCACCCAATTTCCCTCTTCTCTTGGCTTGGATCAATCCTCTTAGTATCTATCTCCTCTGTGGCCTCCAACACAACCTTGGTCGCTGGCAACCTCCCGATGCCAGTGCTAGGCTTCTCTATCTTCTTAGGTACAGGAGCCCCACCGCCACCCCTGCTAGGACGGTTTGTCGTCGGGCTGGCGATCCATTTCTGTGCATCGTCCCACTTTGATGGTGCAGGCTTTGAGAATGGAGGGACGACCGATGCCGCCGCTGACCGGGCGGTGGTCCCCCGCTCCTTGTGGAACTCAAAGTTGGACGCCACGCTCTCGGAGTCGCACGAGTCCTCTTCGGGCACCCTGATCCTAGAGCCCATGGGGACGGGGTGGGCGTCTCGGGACCGGTGCCCGCCCCCTGTCTCCAGGGAGGATGAGGACTCTGAGATGGTGCTCACCACGTCGACGTCCTTGTATTCTTCGCACACAGTGCCTCCGCCACCTACATGAGAATACAATCATGCAGTCTCAGACTCTGAAATCAACCGAAGGTTCAGGCAAGCACATTGTCTTGTCCCACAATTTGAGTTCAGCTACCCTCTGAAGTACACTAGTACATGGCTATCGCACTCTTAAGTGAAGACAACAGAGTATGAAAAGATTCTCCATTCCCCTTCCCCTTCCCCTTCACCTTTGGGTACAGAGGTGCCTCTACTTGACAGAAAAAAGATGGCTCTGCATATCCAGACTAGTACACTAGCAATTACCGGTAGATGCGTATATTATGGTGAGGAAAAAAATCATGATGAACAATGACGACCTAAACTGCTCCCCGCATTGGCACTGTCCACGGAATCAATTTGCCCTATCCAATTCCAAGAAGCAATGCCAATGCAGCAGCCCATCCAAGGAACCCACAATAATCCGAGACGAAGCAAAGGACGAGATCGGCAACAGCAGCAGGCAGCATCGCGAGGGGTGGGAGTGGGAATGGGAAAATCAAAACGGGGGAGGCAGGCGGAACGAAGCAGAAGCACCCACCGTCGCCGGCGTCGGATCTGGCGTGGTCCTTGGGCACGACGCCATAGTCGCCGCCGCCGTCCTCCTCCTCCTCGTCGGCGCCGCCGTCCTGCTGCCCCTTGCGGCGCTTGTCCACCCCCAGCAGCATCGCGCGCAGGCGCTTGGGCGAGAACCCGCCGCCCTGCTGCAGCAAAGCAAGCGACACACACAGAGGCAGAGAGACACAGCAGCGCTCCCGCATTACTCATCCTGGTACCAGACCGAGCCCAACGGACAGAGAGAATCTGTATGGGGAAGAAAAGGCATGTAGGCATGTAGCAGCAGCAGGGAGGTAGGGGGGCGGAGGGACCTGGACGGGGAACGGCTTCTCAATGCGCTCGTACTCCATGGCGGCGGAGATCTGCGTCGGCGGCGGCGTGGCGCGTTGGTGGCGAGAAGAGAGAGAGAGAGAGGGGAGGGGGGGAGGAGATCGAAGGGACGGAAGTGATGAGGTGAGTGTAGTTTTGACCGCCCTTTGACGGACGGGACCCCCAGGATGACTCTTCTGCCCTCCCAGGTTGGCGAAAATTTACCCCCGTGCCACACTGTCCCAGACGCCGAGCCCGAGGGCAGGACAGTAAATCGCTGGGGCGCAGGACGAGACGTGAGGTGGTGATTACAACCTCACCGGCAACGGCCACTCCCGGCCGCCCCCCGTCTCTCTCTCCTCGTCGTCGGGCCGCCCCAGTCACGAGCGCCTGGGGACCCCGCTTGTCGGCTCCACATGGAGGTGGGTGATGTGGTGAGGGGTAGGGAAGGGAAGGGAAGCATCGTGGTGGCGCGGGGACTGGCTGAGGTGTGTTCGTTCCCTGTGGGCCCAACCGTTCCAATCATGCTGCTCTTGTTCTTGTCACTAGCCAGCCTATGTGGTGATTGGTTAGTGAACTGAAGCAGCTTAGTGGGTGAGATCATCCGTTTGTGCCGGTGCCTATCTCCCCGTTCTTCGCGGAAAAAACCAGCTAAAATACTGTTACGACTGATTTGTTGTGAGAGAAAAACATGATTCTAGTAAAAAAAACAAGCTGAAAAAGACAAATTATAAGAGAAACGAACAGAGCCAATGCATTAGAGCAGGTGTGTGTTGAGTGAGGACCACTAATGGCGATGCAATGCAACATGAGTGACGGGGTCCGACCACAAGAACAGGTCATTCAGAAGTTCAGAGCCATCTGATCCAAGGTTTTACTACTTGTCGACGGCTGGATCTTCGGGGGTGTTTGGCTCGTGGTTTCAAGCTGGCTGATGCTATTTTGCTGTGAGAGAAAAATATTGTACAAGACAATTGTTCTCTAAAGTTATCCTCACCGTGGCTTCATCACCAACGGCCCTTGCCAGACAGCAATAATGGTTTCCCCTACTAAACTTTAGTCGCTGTTGTTTGACACATGCATGGAGTATTAAATGTAGACTATTTACGAAACTAAATACACAGACTAATTTGCGAGACGAATTTTTTAAGCCTAACTGGTCCATGATTTGACAATGAGTGCTACAGTAAATATGTTCTAATGACGGATTAATTAGGCTTAATAAATTCGTCTCGCGAATTACTGATGGAATGTGTATTTTCTTTTATATCCGAACCCCATGCGACACACTAAGACACCTCTTAAATTAGTTCCTCCGGCCAAACACCCCCTCTAATTCGCATGGTCGCATGCTTGTCTCCACGACACGTGGTTAATTAATTAAAGGCCAGTATTAAGCACAAGCAGATGCACATGAACAGAAATGCTGACAAACCTCCCATTCGCTACAGCTACAACTAGCAGGCCTTGACAGTAGAAAAAAGGTGTTATCTACCCGAAAGAAATTACATCCCACTCAAACACATCCACGGCATAGCAGTGAAGTTGTTCAGCAGATCACAACGTTGGGGAGGCTAGTTGCTTCAGGGGAGTCGGAGAGAGCTGAAGGGGCAACCAACTCTTTGTTACCCAGGAGAAACTTCAGATTGGAAACAGCAGAACGAAGATGATGAAACTTTCTCATGTGTGAATCGGATACGACCTGCATTTGGTGGCCATGGGAGGAAGCTCACAGGAAATCTTGAGGCTCGTTTCAATGGTGGGTTTCAGATATTCTACTTCAAGGTCTGATGAGCGCGTGGACATCGTGTTTTTTGGAAATATAAAAGCATGCCTTTTTCGAGGAAGAAATGGTTACGCTCCTTCACTTCCATCTGCACAACCATATCATGGTTGGAAACAAAAAGACAAAGGACATCAATCAAGCATAGATCTAGAGAACATAAAATTTAACAATGTCATTATGAATTTTAGTGCTAATTTGGCTATCTAACAATATATAAATATGCATAATTTAGCAAATTCATTACTCCCTTTATTTTAAATTATAAGACATTTTAAATTTTATTCTAAATACAAAATTATGTACTAGAAAAGACTGAACAAATTACAATTTGTAGCAGAGCTCTTGACGGCAGTCGTTCCGGGGAGAGGGGATATGGAGATTTTCGCACTGCACACAATTTGCGTGACTGATCGACCGTGTCCCCCACTCCCCTGCCGCTCTCCTTCAGAATTTTGTGGCAACCTTATACTTTGGTCTGCCACTAACAATCTCACTACAAGATGCAGTTCTTGTACTATCAGTTCTTGATGAAAGTGTGTCAAGGATTTGCTCCCCATATAAACCGATATCAAAAGATAGATTTTTATCCTGAAAGACATGGATGTAGGAGTGAGCGCTAAACAAGTTCATAGATGCAAAACTGTAAGCAGTTCAAGCCAGCAACTAACCTGCTCTTTCAAGGCATTCCCAATTCTTTTTTTCCATGTTGAAACTCGAGCATCCATCACACTCTGCTTTTCAATCTCAGCGACGTTGGCAAGGGGAGCATTATGTATGAAGAATTATCTATCAGTTTTGGAAGTTGAAGAGAAAAGGCAAATTCAGAGCACATCTCAAAGTTAAAGTTCTCAATCGCAATATTGGGGAAACAACCATATTGCCAAAACGGCATGCCTTAAGCCCTTAACCAGTGCACACATGAAAGGTGGAAGCACATTAGATATACCAGCATAATATTTTATTTAATTTAGCGCTAAGGATTGTTGCATGGGAATTTACAACACATTCAGTTCTTCCTGACACTTATCCAGAAACTTGTCTGTAAAATCCAATACATGACAAAGATGGGAGATCAGAATTTTTGGGAAGATATTGCAACTAATCATACAAGCAAAATTTTGTCCAGTGCAGCAATAATCTTTTTTCCACAACGATTGAGACTGAATTTCATTGCGATTGTAATGAAATTTCATAGTTAATGCAGCAATAATCTATTATAATAAGCTTTATCCTAGCATGTTTTGACATGCTTACACCTAATATATATTTAGCCAACATATTGACTTACAGGGCACCAAGATGCTTGTAAACGCACAAGACATACATGTAAATGAACTATAGAACCATTAAAAACTCACCAGATGTGACTGACACAAGTCGTCGAGGCTTGCATGTGTATCTATGTCATCCTGTGTACCATTGGAAGTTGCAGCAATAGTCTGAACAGAGGAAAAATGAAAATGAATATTACCCAAATGTTGGATATATAGCTAAACACAGCAACCAGGAAACAAAGAAGTCAATAAAATAAACCTCGTCAAGATATATTGGAACATCAGGATCAACATCTATGTCGTTTGGCATGTCTGGATCATCATCATCAAAATTAATGCCAGTATTTGATCTATTGTCATCTTTCAAATCTCCAAACACATTGGGATTTCCTTATCAAATTCAAATGATCTCAAAAACTGCATGTTGGATGGTTAATAAATAATTTATGTTTCACCAAAAAGATATAAATTAAATAAGTCAAAAGATTAGACATGCCTAATTTACATGGACACTGTAACAATGTTGAGTGCCTTTTCAAAACGAGGGGGTGATTAGAAACAATAATGTTCCTCCTGCGGCTGAGACGGCTGTGCTTCAAAAGATTTAGCATGTTGAGGTATGACACCTTCCATCTTTGCCATAGGAAATAGAAATTTGAGAGTTTTCTTTTTTCGAAGTGCCAATAACCCCCCATGGAGAACCTTTCACTGCTCCAAAACAGATCAGTAAATATAGTTCAATACATAGGTCATCAAAATAGCTTTTCAAGGCACTAAATAAAAGATATATATCCATAAAGAACAACTTCCTGTACCTCTCATGTAAGGCCGAATCTTTAGGTTGCCAGGTTCATGTGGATTCAAAGGTTTCCATGGATCCTCTATATCATCTGGGTGAGGCATTTCAACATCATCAACAAAGTTAGGTTCATCAGGATCAGACCAATGTTTGTCATCTGGACTGGTTTCTTGAGTTGAAAATTGTTCAGGATTCTCCTGAGTTGGATCTAGACCTCCTAGGACTTCTCCAGCAGCCGATTGACGACCTTTGCCCGCTGATCTTGCATTTGGGGTAGTGAAAACATTGGCTTGGCTTTTAGAAGGCGCTGAACTGCCTTGACGAGGCACACTATTTTCTTCCCCGGCGACCACCACCAAAACCTTCACGGTGCGCATTGTATCCTCGACCACCAAAACCGCCATGCTAGAAGCCACCGGCTTGAAAGCCACTACCACGGCCACCGTACCCCGAATTAAACCCTGGGTTAAAACCGGGATTAAAACGTTGGGATTGGCCACCGTGGTAGCCCTGAGAGTACGTCGCCTGCTGGTGAGTTGCCGGTGGAGCATGGTGTGGCTCTGGTAGCCCTGAGAGTACATCAGCACTCATCTGCAGGCGAGGGAACTACGAAATGATGTTGACGATGCACAGCCTACACATCTGATACACCTCCCTCAGCAACCTGATTACATTCGCCCAGGTATGAACTCTTCTGATACAGGACTGCTGATTGACAGAGGAGTCCAAGCCGACCCACAAACACCCATGGCGACCCAGGCAGCACAACCTCCTTTGAACGCCAATTCTTCAGGTTTGATTTTATCTGCCTTGCAGCCGATGATGGCGAACAGGTACACGATGACCACACCAGCCTTGTTATCAGGCACCAGGTGCTATGTCGATGCTTCCACCTACCCAGATCAACCGTCGATGCCATACAGACCGGCCGGTCTAGGAATTTTATTTGTCCATGTGCTGGTTCAACCAACTCAGACGCTCTATATTCAGGCAAAACTTGTTGTGTGCTCCTCGGTCCTTATGGCTGAGGCTGCCTGCCTAGCACTGGCAGCTGCTGTTGCTGACCATCTGAACTTCAACAACATTTCCTTCCTGCCGGATTGCCAACAATTGGTTCTCCAATTATGCCACAAGCAGGAACTACGGAAACTTTAAGATTGACAGACAAGTCAATGGCACTGCGGATGTGCTGGCTCGACAAGCTTTATCAACTTCTTCCCAGCAGCAGCCACACTTTGATTTTGTTTGCTCTTCGGAGCACCATGTATTGCAGTGCCCCCTTCAACAAGCTCTACAGTGTGTAGACTTGAACAACGTAACTATCCATGCAGCATGTTGCTGCTCATAATGAGATGTTTGTTGTAAAAAAAATCCGGAGGCCCCCCGATCTCTCTCTCTCTTCTTTTTGGTTTTTTTGACAAAAAGACGCCGCCCAGGAGAGGCAATTTCGGGCATTATATGCAAAAGCTTGGGCTATTTCTATTTAGGCCCGTCAATCGGCTAAATCCATCCATCATTGCAAAGGAAACAGGCCCAGCGGTAAAGAAAAGTCGAAGCCCACATAACCTATACATGTTTTTTAGAGTTCGATTCGACAAGGGAAAAGTCCATTTTTGACCATTGAACTTTTGTCGAAGTCCGAGAACGACCATCGAACTCTAAAACCAGTAATCTTTGACCATTTATTTTCTGAAACCGGACACAAAAGGCCATGTACTGCAGTCCACCTGGTTTTGACGCCACGCCGGTTTTGACGCCACCTACACATGACATTCATAGTTCACATGCTGTCAGGTAAAATTAAGTCATCAGTCAGGCATTACACATCACAATTCCTAGTTTAGATGGTAGCAACATGAACTTAAGCCAACAGTCTGGCATTACACCTCACAATCCATAGTTCAGATGGTAGCAAAATAAACTTAAACCAGCATTCTGGCATTACACATGGGCATCACAGATACTTCAGATGGCATCACCAGGTGCTGGCAGAAAGAACATAGGGCCTTTGGCTGGTCTTCTAACCGGGAGCTTCTTTGGAGGGGATGGTCCTTGAGCATTCAAACGAACTTCAACTTTCCCTGAGTTTATAGTGATAGACACACTTGAGCCAGCTTTGGTAAATGGCACATTGGAGTGCAAGTGCATAGTTGCTGAACCAGAAGGAGTTGTATCAACTTTGGCACTTGCGGATGTCTGGGCCAATGTATTTGAACCTCCAGCCTTGCAAAACAAGAAATAAATCATTGAACACACATATTTTGTGAGGATCATAAATTGGCAATAATGTTACACTGGTTTTGGAACCATACCTTGGTTGTCCTTGTCCTTTTGTTCTGTGTACATGGAGTTGTATTTGCTTTCCTCTTCATGGATGCAGCAGTGCTATGGTGAGGTGCACTTGATGAAGTTCCACCTTGTTCTCTTGAAATCTGAGCAGCATTATGGGACTGGCCATTCCTTTTGTTATATGTGGACCTGTTGTGACCAATTTGCATGCATTTCGTACACTTGATAATTGTGCCCACCTTTGAGGCCTTTTCAGACTTTGGTTTCTCATGTGCTTCTCTCTTTCTTTGCTTCTTTGGTCTACCTGGCATCTTTACATATCCAGGAGCCTTCAGTGGTGTTTTCTCTGAAACAGGCCATGCATTCATTCCTTCCACTGGCAATAGACAATAGTCATATGTGTTTTTGAACTGTTCCACTGAGTAGCAGCTAGCAATAAATGGTGACAGATCATTTGTCTTGAAGAAAATGCAAGATATGGCATGAAGACATGGCATTCCAGATAGTTGCCAATATCTACAGGAACACTCCTTTTTGTTCAGGTCCACATTGAACCTATTAATCCAGTGAACCACTTCAAATTGGTCGTCCATTACATATTGCATGGCAAACTCCAAATAAATTAATATATGCATTCAATTTTTTCAAGATATTTGGTCATATGACTGTGTTCCACCCATCTGATTTGGTTCTGTTGTGCTGAATCCTAACCATGACTTTTCTCCTAATTGTCTCAAGCATGGTAATAATTGGAAAGTATCTAGCCTCTACAATCCATTTGTTAAAAGATTCACACATATTGTTGTCAACTGAATCACAAAAAGAACCTAACCTGAACCAGGCACGGCTCCAGTGATGTGGATCAGTGTTCATTATAGCCTGAGCTCCAGCTTGTGTACCCTTTGCAAGTCTTGCCTTGGCTAGGTTGAACAATGTGACACAAGGGGCCTTTGCACAAGCCTAAAATTTCTTCTGCCACTCCTTTTTAAACTTTTTCCTCCAATTGACATATATATGCCTAGCACAATTCCTATGCTCAGCATCTGGAGCACATTTCTGCACTGCATTCAAAATTCCCTTTTGCTGATCTGATATAAAAACCCATCCAGTGCCACCATACACCTCTATATCTCTAAACAAAAGATCACAAAACCAATCCCAACTATCATTATTCTCTTTCTCCACTACAGCCCATGCAATAGGATATATTTGGCTGTTTGCATCTCTGCCAATTGCACATAGCAGCTCACCATTTGTAGCTCCCTTGAAGAAGCACCCATCTAGCCCAACAACTTTTCTACATCCTGCCTTAAACCCTTTCTTGAAAGCATCAAGGCATATGTACATCCTCTGAAAAATGTTTGTATCACCTTGTCTTCTCACAATAACTGTGCTTCCAGGATTACTTCTCAATAACTCTAGCTGGTAATTGTACAAGAGTAGATACTGACCCTTAGTAGCATCTAATGCCTTCTGCATTACCATGGACTTGGCCCTCTTAAGCTTGCTAAAACTCACATCAACAAACATGTCCTCTTGCACAGTTCTTTTCATTGAGTCAAGACCCCAAGCAGGGTTGGCAATGATCATCTTCTCATACTTGGCGATAATTCTACCAAAGAAGGACCAAACCTATTGTCCCTTACGGGTGGACATGTATGCTCAGCATTGTAGCTAGCAATCTGCCAACTACTACTCCTAGAATTGACAGAAGCCATGCACCTCCATTTACATGTGGACCAGTCACATACTGCAATTATTCTTGATGCCTCATTCTTGTAGAATTTGATAAGCTTCCTCTCAACTAGACTATGTTTGATACATGCCTTCTTGAATTGTTTCTTTCCACTAAACTTCATCCCAATCTCAAACTTAGGAATTGGTTCCTTCTTATTAAATCTTGGACATTTACTAGTACACTTCTGAATATCCCCATCACTCATCTCTTCTAATGAATCATCATCATCACTGCTGCCATCATATGGGGTCAAATTTCCTTCATCCTCTATCTCATACAAATTTGGCACCTCTTTGGGATTGTCCAATATGACTTCATCTAAGTTGGCTACCTGTCCAGCCTTTAACCCCCTTTTAAACACCCTGAACTTGGTCAGAATTTCTACAACTTCATCATCATCCTCAGAAGAACACTCATCACCAGGTAAGTAGTCACTGTCACTGCTATCCCCAGACTTTGGATCATGGACAACTACTTGCTTGCCTTTGTCTTTCCTTGAATTTTTCCATCCCTCATCAAGCTGTATTGGTTGTTGGATCCTAGCTCTATTACCACTTGGAACAATGGCTGCACCTAAAAATTCATTGGTTGCATGCATAGGCTGAGTATCCTCTTCTATCTCAGGTCCATCATCCAATTCCTCCTGCATTTCCTGCTCATTCAGTGAGTCATCTTCATCACTTGTTCCTTCCTCCTCTTTATATTCACTGACTTCGTCACATTCACTTTCTTCCAAAGCAATAGGTTCTTTAACATAGATTTCAGCTAGCTCTCCATCCCCAATGGTACCTGCTACCTCTAAGCAGCCTTTGTCATCTAGAAGCAGCCTCAGACCATTGTCGAGCTCTTTCCCAGGAAGAAGTCAATGCAAAAGAGCCCTTTCACTTACATTGCAATGGTCCTTTAGGTGGCCAATAATCTCAGGCAAGGACACTTTATCCCTATCTATGAAGGAAACCTCCATCCGAGCACCGATGTACTGCACTTGTCTTCCTGTTCTTATGAATTCTCCATTGAAATGGAACCGGACTGGAAAATACTCAAATGGATCCATCCCCAGGACACTTTATCACTTGCCTATATGAAAAATAAGTTTGTGGCTGCATTAAACAATGGATTAAGCACTCCTACTCCCCAACCCGACATACAAGCAAAACAACAAACAAAGCGACATATCGAATGCAGCAGTGCTGCTTCACCTCTTTATACGTTTTAATCCATAAAGGATATGATGGCAGCGAAATACAAAAGGCATAATCTTTACCAATCTGGAAAGCTAATGGAAAGTACTACAAGCTTCTCATATTTAAAAAGTCTAATAAGACATTTAAGGGTTTCGAAAGGCCCCTACATCCAGATTCATCCGAACTTCACACAAAGAAGACACCTAATTTCGAAAATACATATCTCTGAAACTGCTTGAGATAAAATCATGAAATATCACGAGCTAATAGATCCGAAGGTCCTCTACAACTTTGTAGTTCACCAAAACACTTATTTCGGTCTCTAAGTAGCCATAATCGTTTCCCCAAGAAAATCTACAGAAACTGTTCATCTGAAATCCGAGGAACAACATTCAAGCAACTTTTCTCCCCCACTAGTCCACCTATTCCCATGGCCAAAATCCACCCTAAACACCAAACTTGTGCAGAGAAGGGGGAAATCCAACTCACCTTGGTCAGCCACAAACCCTAGGGCGACGAGAAGGGATGGGGAAGGACCGATCCACATGCAAGATGCACCTCTTCTTGCTCCTATTGTTGTCCTCGATCCGATTTGCAAGTTTCCCCCAAAGATTTGGTGCTGTAGAGGGAATTTAGGGAGTGGCAGCCATGGGAGAGCAAGGGGAGGAGAGAGTAACGTGAGAAGAGGAGAGGGTTGGTTTGGAGGAGAAGAATGAGAGAAGGGGAGGAGTTCTATCAAAATCAGGAATGTGTAGGTGGACTGCAGTCCATGGCCTTTTGTGTCCGGCTTCAGAAAATAAATGGTGAAATATTTCTGGTTTTCAAGTTCGATGGTGGTTCCCGAACTTCGCCAAAAATTTGATGGCCAAAAATAGACTTTACTCATTCGACAACCTATACATGTTCTTTCCTATAATAATAATAATAATAATAATAATAATAATAATAATAATAATAATAATAATAATAATAAACAAATAAAAAGGGTTAGTCCTTATCCTCGTGCTCATCCTTATGGCTGCCGCCGGCTGGTCGTCCCTCCTCGCCGATCTCCTCAAGGAGATCTCCGGCCGGCTGTCCTCCGACGCCGACCTCCTCCACATCCACCAGGTCTGCCTCCACTGGCGAGCTTCCACCTCTCTCCCAGCCGCCTGCCGCCCATGGGTCGTTGCTGGCCGCGCTCGGCGGAGCGGATTGGTACCAATCGGCGACTACTCACTCCGCCTCCCTCGTCGCGGTGCGCGGAGGATAGAAGTCGGTGCTCCTCCGGCCGGCTTCCCTTACTACTGCGGCACGTCCCGGGGTTGGCTCGCCTTGGTCGACGACGACCGATCCCCAACGCGGCTCGTGCTGTGGGAATTTCTCTCCAATACGGAGATCTCTCTCCCATGTCCGAGCCCTCTCACCCGGATCTTTGTCTCCGATGATCCGCTCATATCGTCCAACTGGTTTGCGATTGCTACGCAGCGCAAGGGTCGGATAGGGCAGAAGACGCTCCTCTGGCGCCCTGGAGATGCCGACTGGACCATGATGTATGAGCGAGGTACGTTCGAAGTTGGTTCCATCGCATTCCTGGAAGGAAAAGCATACTACATCGATGTGGAGAAAAACATTATCATCTGTGATCTCAACACTCCTTCTCCCAAGTGTACTCGGATGTACAATATTTGCTCCGTAGTGAATAAGCTCTGCAAGTGTGACAGGTTTCATCCCATGCGTGGGGTGCACCTGGTAGCCTGCAACGGCGAGCTGTTGCTTGTGGTGTTGCGTTTGGGAAACCATCCATCGCCGGCTGAAGTTTACAAGCCAGAGTGGATGCCGGACCTGCAAGTGGAGCTCCACGAGAGGGTGATGGACCTTGGTGACTACTCGCTGTTTGTGGGTCGAGGGGACACTTTTTCCCTCTCTGCAAAGGAGTTTCCTTCGATCAAGAGGAATTGTGTTTACTACGCAGATAATAAACCTTACAACCAAAAGTATTGGATATCTGTGTTCCATTTGGGATCTGATGTTATGGAAGAAATCCCTTACCCAGAGGAGCTCAAGCAAGACACAACCAACTGGACACCGCATGACTGGTTTTGTCCTAGAAAACCCAACTGGACACCGCATGCCTGGTTTTGTCCTAGAAAACCCTTAAGAAGCAATGAGTTAGGTGCAGGTAAGGCCTTTGTCTAGGCTGAGGGAATTTCCTTATGAAATTCCTGTGGTAAATCTTTATGATGCAGGAAGTTCTTCATGAATTTCCTTTAGTTATGATCGTTTGCATTGGGGAAAACTGCCTGACCTCTTGTGCCCCCTTCATGACGCTATCAACATTTTTAGACCGATTGAATGCTCGTTATGTTATATCAATGGAACCCTCTTTCGAGGGTATGTATCAAGTCTCAATAAATGCATTGCCTAATTTGCTGGTTGTCTTTCAATTCCACATACAGGTTGTAGCATCAGTAATATGGACTAGCAGGGCTTTAAGTTCTCTTTGTTTTTATTCTCGCACTTAGATCAACTTTCTGTGGTGATTTGTTTTTATTTTTAGACCCAAGTGCTTGTTCTGACATTGGGAATCGGTGAAAACTTCAGCACCGTCCATCACCTTTCCCAAGGAATTACTAAGCTACCATCAGATATCCAGTGTTATTTTCTACATCCTGCCATCCTGTTTCAGGAAGATATCTGAATATGGCCCATTGGTTTTTTCCTCTTTCATTTCCTATGGAATGCAAGTACAGGAGGGCATTGGTCCTTCTGTTGCTAAACTGAGATACGAACAATGACGAAATTTTATTTTATAATTCAGAGAAAGTGAAGAGCAAGTTGTTAGCAGCCAACTCAGAGCAGCACTACCCCATCAAAAGTAGAAAAATAAACCTTTACCTTCTTGCTAACCTGTAAACTGTGGTTGACATTGACTGCACAGTTCATGAATTATTTTGAGATTTGGTATTCGCACCATAGGGTGGTTGTGCAATGGCATTTATTCTAATTCTGAAAATGATCAGGAGTTGGAGCATCAAGCAGATTTTAGCCTGTGCTGCGATGCCATCTGTTTTTCATTCCTTTGTTTGGGTTTTGTATAGCCATCTCCCCCCAAGGATTTGCTGTGCAGGGGTGGCCTTCTTTCCTGTTCAGCCTTGTTCACGTGTTCTGTTCTTGGAGTGGGCTTTTGTGGTTCTGCTTCTTGGTTGTGCTCTCCATCCGTGTACGCCTGCTAGTGGGGGCAAGCCCTCCCCAAACCCGCAAATCAGGAAAGACTTCACCCAACCCGACCCTGCCCAAATAACGCCCCATTGTTAGTGGGTTAAACCAAAACTCATTGCGCTGGCATGCACGGCCACACAAATAAGCATGCAGCGCGTTTGGTGAGGGTACACATATTGGACTAATTAAATAAGCATGCACGGCCACACAACTAATGATTAAATAAGCATCCAATAAATAAATATATGAGCCAAATTGCCATCAACTTCAAAGACAACATGGCAGAGTAATACATTATATTGGACAAATGCCCTTAAATATATTCATATAATCTGAAAAAAAGGTCCCTCTTCTAAATGATTTTCTGTAGCAATGAGGCAGTCTCCATTCATATGGAACAGCAATGACTGCATTAGCTTCAATGCCAAATTCTACACACCATTTGACTGATTCTTTCCATACCGAAGAGAGAGGACCTGAAACCTTGCCAATAAAACAATATCAGTGTAAGGTGTTTTTCCCTTCCCTTTCTCTCTTCATAAATGAATGAGATGGGTAGCTTCAAAATGCACTAACAAACATGAGTATTGAATGCACCCTGTCTAATAGGACTGTTCCAGAAGTGTAAAACACAATAATGCCAATGTCAAAGCAAACATGGGGAGTTGCCATTTGCAAACAGATGAACATAGATTATTTTGAAAGAAAGATACAGTAGTGTGAATGAGCTACAGATAACTGTACTTGCACAAATTATTCCACATTCTTCAGCTTGCACATGAACAAAGAACATGATTCTTTCCTGATAATACTTTGTTGTACCACCTAGGCCATTAGTTTGATGATCTCATCTAAAAACCACATTTTTCTGTTATGATTTCAGCCACTTCAACTCAAAACTTGCAAATATGTTGTCTAGAATGAACTTCTTTTCACTTAACATTGAGTAACCTGACTTATGAACGAATAAGCTACAGATTATCATATAACATATATGTAACTCATGGCTAGAAAAATGATGCAATGAATTGGAATCTCTCTTAATTGTCCTATATTCATGTGACGAAATACCACCGTGTTTGATTGTTTTTATGTCATCTATCAAATAAAGCCGTGGCATCAGCACGGGCACTGTACTAGTTTTCATAATTGAAGGTTCAACGAATGACAAGATCAATAGTTTTAAACAAATGCATAATTGAAGGTTCATAGAACCCAAAACTAATTGGCTATAGAAATGACATGAACTAATTTTAATTTGACAAACGACGAGCAATGATCTTCTGCTGCATCGTCGTGTAGTATGGCTGCTGCAGCGGGGTCAAGGAGGTAATGTTGGTTGCCATTATTTTATCTTCCTTTTCCATCATGTCCAATTCTAGCTTTTTTTCTTCTAATGCAGGGCGCTATTTCTCTAGCTCAAGTGAAGCCATGTACCTCTCCGCTTTTTTCTTCTCTTTCTCCATGTCAAAAGCCTCCTTCTTAGCCCATATTTTGTTCAAAGCCTCCATGCAAGCTTCACATCTTCCTCGCCTTAGAGCTTCTTTTGCCTTTGTAAGGAAAATGGACCCTTGACCCATTTACTTTGGATTTTGGTGTTTGATGACCAACACAACCAAATTGGACTAATGAATTTGCAAGTGTTTGTTTTGTAGTCCAATAGGGTGCAAGACGTGACTTGGACGAAGGCGACATGATGATCTGATGATCAACACCTCAAGCAAGACCTTAGAAGCACAAGAAAAGACCCAAGATGTCAAGCAAAGTCCAAGCATGAAGATAGGAACCAAGCCGTCGCAAAAATCGCAAAAAAAAGAGCTCAGAGAGCGACCGAATGACGCCGGACCGGACGCCGAAGCGCTTGACCGACGCCGGACCGGTGGCTCGCGAACAGCGACCGGACGCAAGGACCGACGCAGAGACGCAACGTCCGATCGAGTACAGAGAGGTTCCAGCGCTGAAACTTCGACCGGACGCGTCCGGTGGCGAAGCGCGACCGACGGCGGCGTCCGATCGGTGAGTTCAGCGGCTTCTAGCGGTCCGGACGACGGGACGCGTCCGGTCAGATTTATTCAGTCGTCCGGTCGATGGCGATTTCTGGGAGTTCGATCCCAACGACTACTTTCTCAGTGGGGCTTATAAATACAACCCCCAACCGGCCATTTGAGTAGAGTGGAGCTAAGAAAACAAATCAAGACTGTTGATACACCATTTGAGTGATCTCCACATGCATAGTGCTTAGTGTTTTATTAGGTGATTAGCATAAGTGCTTTGCGAAGTGCTTAGGTTGATTAGACCATCGCTTATGCGCTTGCTCTAGGTGTTTGCCTAGTGTTTAAGTGAGGTTTGCATACCTCTTGCCACCGTGCTTGCGAGCACAAGAGTTGTACATCGGAGGGGCTTGAAGTCTTGCGAGATCGCACCAACCGCGTTTGTGGTGCGGCCGCCACTGCAAAATGTCTCAGAAGGAACAAGTCCCACGGCGTTTGTAAAAAGCTTGATAGTGAAGACCGTAATGTAACCGACCAATTATATGAAATTAAGTAAGAAAATCATCCGCCAGAAAGCGATTTATTTAGCAAACTTAAGCCCGTATAACCCGGTAGTCCGTGAAATCGCGAAGGATTTCAAACCAACTTCCATTCCAAACAGATCGTAATAAGTTTAGCGGTCACCATCACATATTACATAAAAGTTCGCAATCTCAAATACATCGAGTTTAAACATAGTTATTACAAACCCGGTTCAAGAAAAGTAAGCGGAAGCCATTTGTTCAAACCACACACACACTCACGCGGAGTTTAAATATAGTGCCAACGAATGATCATCTCCAACAAAAGCATCAGACGAGACATAAGGAATGACCCTACCCATGGTCCTAAGCATCACCCATCGTAGGATAAAGGCAGTTGATACAATAGCCGTAATACATCTGCCTATCTGCAACAAGTGGGAATAAAACCCTGAGTACGAGAAGGTACTCAAATAGACTTACCCGACATAACCGAAAAATAAATGACACCAAGGATTATGAAGGCTTTATAGTAGGGTAGTGACTCATTTGCAAAAGAAGCATTTTAGCATTTCCATAACTTTTCTAAAAGCGTTATTGCCAACTTAATTATTATTAACTTATCGACTAGATTTGCATCTATACTAGAGTAAACATGTGATTAAGCAATTAATGATAACCACCGATCATTAAACAACTTCCATCTTGTCATATTCACTATAACTGTCCAAGTGTTCCATAAACATTTACTACGATGAAGTAACTCAAGTCAAGTGCTCACTATCCGGAGCGATTGCGATTCGAATCGATTCCTAACCAAATTGGTGATTTATTCCTTACACAAATCTCACTCACCCGCTAAAGTGAGATATTGATCACCGAAAGTCAACTTTCCGGTATCTCGAGTTTGCCAGAACCACATGTACCGGGGCCGACCGATCGCGCACTTTGGTCTTATCATCCCGCCCCGTGTCCTACCACACCGCTTGACCTGCGATGCGTCTGCAGGCAATCTACTCGGCCGAAAAAATCTCCCACTTCATGCGGTCGGAAGGTACTTTATCCGCCCACTAAAATGTAAGGCATCGTTCAACATGACTCGAGGCCCAACAACGGTCGGTCCTTAATCGACCTGAGCGGAAACACTACAGTCCAAAACTCTGCAAGTCTCCGTCCGGTCTCAACTTCATTTAACACTTAGTTATACCATGACTTCATAGTCGTCCAAGCAGATCTAGGTAACCACCTATAGCTCGCAGGTGACAGGAAATCACCCGACTTCTACCGGTCTAAGCCAGCTAAGCATTGACTCGACTGCGGATACCAGGGTAACAAGGATATAGTATAACAAAGGTAAACAAGGTATAATGCAGCAACGGTTGCAAACAACTCCTGAACGTAATGCATTAATTTAAGGTAAAGTATTTAATTAAATAATTGCAAACCGGGAGAAAAATGTTCCGGGGCTTGCATCTCTCGAAGGAGCTCGGGCGGTGATCGGGGCACTCCGGAAGTTCTTCAACGTCCTCCTCGTCGGCTTCTGGCACTTCCTGCTGCTGCACCTCGAGCTGCTCCTCTGGCTCCTCGGGTATGACGACTGGGTTCTCGATTTGCGATCCTGTATGATGCAATGTGCGTAAGTGCTTATGCAATCGGTGCATCGAAGGAGATGAATGCAATGGATATGTTTAAATGCAAGGTAGTCAACATCATCCAAGAAACTATACTACAAGCACATGTCATCTACTGCATTCTCTTCTACTCCTAGTATGTTTAAGTCAACACACCTTATCAAATGCTTCAAAGATACACCAAAGCTATTATTATTAACTGACCTTGTATTAAGGGGTATTATTTTATTTCCTTTTTAATTAGGGCTACAACAGCAATCTATATTTCTGGTGCTTATAAAAATCTGAGAAAATTACAGTAGCATGGTACTACTCTAATTAGACCACCATCAGATTTTTATAGTGTTTGAATGAGTGGATTAGCCTACACAAAAATAACAAGCTATGACATGATTTTGTACATGAAAATACTTTGAACTGTGAAAAGTGTCAAACAACAGAATTAATATTTTTCCTAGGTTCTTCATAGCATATAATGACTGTACAAAAATCATCACATGCATGTTTTATACAAAGCTTGCTCTCTAACAAAAATAACAAAAATCAGCCAT